GCAATTCCCTCACTGCTTTAGAGAAGCAAACACGGTGGCAGACATATCGCTAATGAAGGTCTATTGCACCCACTTGACTCGATTAAGGTTTATGATCAACCAAGTCGCCTGCCACAGCTAGCAAGAGGGGCAATCAGATTGGATAAATTAGGTCTTCCCTCTCTCCGATTCCTTAAAAAACCTTCTGCGTAACTGGCCTAGGCTCCGTTTATTGTAGTAGAACAATCAGGAAAGGGCAATTCCAAGACAAATGCGAGGGAAAATTCGCATGGACGGGAGATGGTGCACTCGTACCAGTTGCTTGATAGCATGTGATATTTTTCTTGAATTTGGGTTTGTTGGCAGGGAGATTCGTCTATTTATAAGGGGAAACTCTGTCAAAATTTTCTTAAAATAAATAAAATACTTATGTTTGTGCTAAAAAAAAAAAGCAAATACGAATGTCTATACCTATGAGTATTGATATTTATATATTTTGGCTTTAAGCATATATATGTGCATGTTTTTGTCTTGAGGCTTCAAGACTTAAAGGTCCTGAGTTCGAATTTCTCTTTTCCCTTCCCGGTTCATAAATCTCATTCCTCCTTTGTTAGAAATTTGTTTTAAATGTATATATTTTAGTCCATGTGTATATATTATAGTTATTTGTTGAACCCAAAAAAAAAGAAGAATTATGCCATTTACATCCTTGATGTTTTCACCATTTAAACTTCACACAATAAGCTATTTGTTTTTTTTTAAAAGTTTTTTATGTCTAATGTCAACAACTAAAATCCCATCATCCTGATCAACAGAATTAAATTGGAAATTATCACAAGTGCTAACCATGCCTATATTCAAGAATCTATCTTCAATACTCGATTTAAAGTACAAGTGATTTGGGTGATTAAGATACAAAATATATATAGAAGATTTCTATTCTAAAAATTTGACCGGAGAATTGGTTACTGAGTCTAAGTTGAGATTTCTCAGAGGAAATTTTTTGTAAACAGATTAGTGGACTGATGTATTAGTTCTAGCTTAATGCTGACTTTACTGCATTGTTTTGCTTGGGTAAAATTTTTGCTCATCAACAAAACCGATATTTTGCTTAAAACAAAAATGGATAACAAAAAAATCAAAATATTTAATGAAAACCAAAATTGATTTACCTTGAAAATGTTATCATATTGAGAAAAAGCTAATAATTGGCTAAGTTCTATAAACAACTATATATTTGTTTGAAATCATTATGCGAACATAATAATATGACAAACGTGATTAAATTTGTAAAATCAAATGTTTTTTTTGTATAAAAAATATTAGATTTTGCATTGACTATAAAAATTTATTTCTTAAATCCATGTCTTTACATTACAAGTTCACTGAACATAATGACTATGTGGGTATATAGTCACACCCCCCCTCCCCCTCCTCCCCTCTCACATTTTAGCTTGCTATCACTTTTTGAAGATTTGTCAAACTAGATTAATGCGGCAAATGAAGTTCCTTTGATATTCTAAAATTATGAAAGACTGCACCATAAACATCACAAAATGTGAAATTAGCTTCATCTCCTCTGAATTCCATAAATCCTTGGCCATCAAAATTGAACTTCATAACCTCTGAATTCCATGATCGAACATCACCTCTCCAAGATTTAGAGCCACCACCACTTGTCAAAAAATGGATATTTCTAGACAAAATATTGTTAGTTTCTTGGCAATTTAATTCATAGGTAATCAGATAAAATCATTGTTACTATCGATAACATAAATACCCGTCAATACCACTAATGTGCTTCAAACAGTCATCATGTCCATTGATGTAAAAATCAACTTTGTTTGCCTGGAAAAAAAATGTAAGATTAGAATCAGATGTCAAAAACTTTCGGCAAGAATAGGTTAAATTCCATTTTGGATCCTGAAACTATAGATGCATCCCCGCTTTTACCTTTAAACTTCAATTTTGAACACTTCACCCCCTAAAGTACGAAATCCATCTCACTTTAGTTTCCTAATTACACTTTAAGGCATGAAATCCATCCATAGAATTGTCAAAATTCATGGAATATTAGACAAGTGATGTTCAATATTTAAGAACTAAAGTAGGATGAATTTCATTTTTTATGAGGTAAAGTATTCAAAATTAAAGTCTAATGACTAAAGTGGGATGAATTTCGTACTTTAGGAGATAAAGTATCCAAAATTGCAGATGACAGACTAAAGTGGGAGTCTGCCTTAAGTTTAAGGATCCAAAATGAAATTTAACAGCAGGAATATAACAAGAGATTACAGCAAAAAGGTTGTAAATGGGAGGTATGTGCTATTTCAGCTGAGGAAGAGAAAATGAGCTGTTCAACCGTTGAATCATTAAAACAAAACCATTCAACCAATACATTTCTCAAATTATACTCAAAAATTTTAAATTCGATCCACTCCTTTCATTAAGTGGCAACAAAAGTGTAAAGTGTTCACTTCGATACAATCGGTACTGTTGTGGCCTTTCCTCTATCTTTAATGTGTCATCTCTTTCTTTAATTTGACATATTTTCAGGTTAATGAACACAACTTAATTTTCAGTGTAGATGCTAGCAAATTTCAATTATCCACAATTTTTTAACTCCCATGTAATTTCACAAATAGCATTAATATATAGACCGATTTGAATGCATTAGCTTATCTCAAAAAAATATTAAGAAAAAAAAAAAAAGAAATCAAATGGGGTTTTTAAGTTCATACATTTCCGAGAAAACATGTCAAAAAATTTGCATTTAATCGTACTAGATACATCATCTCTCCTCAAAAATTAACTTAAGTAGCTATATTCTTCAAGTGGACTTAATTTAAAATTTAAGTTTCTTTTTTGGATTTTGTATGCGTTTCAATATCTAGTTCTTATTAATACGAAGAAAAGAGACTATATATGGTTATCAATCTACAAAAATACCTTAATTTCACAAAATTTGCGTTTATACCTGGAGGATTGGCAGTAGAGAATCAACAAGCTCTTTGGTCACTCCATGCATGATGCCCAGCACTTTTGATTGTGTGATGACCTGCAACTATTTTCCAGTTTGCTCTCGAGATCCCTTGATGCAAAATCCACTTCCTGTTCAGGAAATGGAGAAACAAAGTAAGATTAATCCAACAGCATCGAATCAAGAATTTAGTTTTAATTAGCATTAATGATATTAAAAACATTTGTCTAACTATTGTGCTTACATAAAATTTTGGTTAATTCATTACTTAAAAAAAAAATTCTGGTTGCATTACCTTTATCAGGTCTGAAAGATAATTAATTCTTTCTATACAATATGCCTTTCCAATTATATGAATGATCTCCAGGAATTACAAAATACTCTTCGATAAATGGAGTCGTCTCTACAAAAATAACGTCTACAAATTTCTCTACAGTAGCTTCAGAAAGAACAAATTTTAGTATGATTTGAAAAATCATAAGATTCAACTTCCAAGATTCAAATTGATCATGGACAAAAATATGTCGACTGGAAAACAAAGCCTTACCAGTGTACCCATGGCCTTTGTAAGCTAGGGGCAGTGTAAATATTGGAGAAGGATTCATCAAATGCAGGATCATCGACGCCTTTTAATCCATCTTCGTAGAAATTGTCTCCAGTTGAGATCACGGAATCTATGTCTAGCTTCTCCCCTATTAATTATCCCCATCTATAATTACCAAATCATTAGCAAAAGCTTTGGTGATCAAGTCATCAAGCAAGTTTTTTGTGTTACAGGGTTTTATCTTTGGGCATGTTTAGTACTTTTTAGATTAATTTTTCGGATTTATATTATTTCTTATTCAGATATGTTGCATTTGTCACTAATGTAACCTGTGCCAGTAACGCAGATTTAATGAAATTATGATGTTTTATAAGCCAGATCATCCACATCCAAGTAAGTACTGAAATTAATTATTTATGTTTCCACGCAACTAGACGTGTACAAAATATTTGAAAATCGAAATCTCAAATGATCGATCCATATCCAATTTTACACTATCATAGCCTACGAAATTAAAAAAAAACATATGTTGAAAGGAAAAAAAATTACTCTATCAATTAGTCTTTATTTTGTTTAAATTTCTTGGTGGAGCAAAGTGAGTATAAATCATATCTCCAAAAAGAAGAGAAAGACCACAAAGAAAATAGCATCCTACTTCATCATTTCACCAAGTCGAAAGTTACCTATGCTGACAATTTTTTTGTTTATTTCTATGGTTTCTCTACATTTTGAAACATGAAAAACAGCAGGCTCATGCTGCAGCCATATGCATACATTTTTTTTAACGACTAAAATTCTTTTGTAAACGATGATAAACCTACGTGAAAAATGTCTTCGTTCACCGATTAAATTTTAGAGGGGTACAAAAATGGGAATGGTAAACAGTATTTCTATTCCAAAATATGTGAAGATTTCTGAATGCACAGACAAGTTCTATCTTGGGATAGCCCTTTCTTCAAAAGAGCTAGAAAACTTCCTGTGATTTTTCAGCATTTTAACGACAATAAGATTGATAAAGAAAAATTAGCTTACAAACCTGAAATGCAACCTCTGATTTGTTGTATGATCCTTTTCTTCCCCAGTCTCCAACGAGAAGAAAGCTGAGGGAACCATCAGCCTTTGGAGGGTGGTTTAAGCATGGGAGCTCAGCGGCAGAAAGATGGAATCCTAAACTAAAAGTCCAAAGAAGATACAGATACAAGACCCTTCTGACTGAAGCAGGCCGGATAGCAGTTTCTCTTTCGAAGGAAGTTTGACGAAGAAAACAAAAAAGTTTTGCAGCTTTTTGGCTTCTGAACATAGCATTTGTCTATTGTTTGGTATGCTGTAGTTCTGTGAGATCAAAAAAAAAAAAAAATGATATACTGCAGCGTGCAATTGAATACATATTTAGAGAAAACTATACTTCAAAGGGCTCTGGCATTGCATGAAGAACAGAGGAATGACAGACGCATAGCCCCTGATATTCAAGTTCACACGTTATGCTTTATATTTATATTTTTATCTTTATTCTTTATAAGAAACTGAAATTCACTAATACATGACCATTTTAGCAAAGATTTCAAGGTCCAATCCAAAAACTTGCTGTCCAATGGGACCTTTTCTTGCTGGAAGTTTAACCCTGTTAAAAACACAAACTAGTACCAAGGCCAACCATAAAGGCAGAATGCAGCCCATATTCATAGGCATGTGTGCTCCCTTATCGGTCGCCTCTAGATCTACTGGTGTAAAAATTTTACTGACAGGATGCTCTTAATACTTTTGAAGACAAACAAATAGCGCATGGGAGTGAACGTTTCAGAGTGTTTCAGCAGAATCATCCAGAGGACAAGAAAAGATGGATCCATGCTTTCTCCAGAGTGGAAAGTTCGTAACCATTTCTTTATGCAAATTACAAGAATAAGCTTCCCACTCAACAACAGCCGCAGAAAAACTACCCCAGTCAAATAGATATTGCACTTTCTTTCCACAATTCAGGTCTTTGTTAAAGGTCTCTGCCTGTTGAAGATCTTGCAGAACCACTGATTTTAGACAATTAATGTCCTCCCGTTGTGCTTGGGAGATTGGTTTAATGTCCGCTGAGACTTCTTTGACTTCTGTTGCCTTCAAAGTCGACCACTTCCAAGAGTACAACTGCGCCACCTGTTAGTTAAACAATGGAACAGAAACTCATTCTCAAATCCGTCGACTTAAAGTACTATGGTTGAAGAGAGTACTGTAAGAAAAGAAGAAATAACCATAAGTTACAATAACTATTAAAATAAAAAAATCTTGATTTACAGATACAAAGTAGCCCGAAAGTAGCTGCAGAACTATGATACTGGCAGGAGTCAGGTATTAGAAATCTCACTTTGATATTCTAAAGCAATCTTGCATTAAGATATAGCTTTCTAAATTTTGAACTCATTTTATCTTGGCATAAAAAAATTAAACCTTTAGCTACAGTGGAAACTTTACAGAATTGATCCATTTAAGGTTCCATCAAACCTTGGCTGAAACTATACATATCAACTTTCAAGAAGAATACACGAGAAACTTCAATGAACTCTACCCATGGTGATAATTCAACCCAAACTCATTGCAGAAGAAGTAATGAAAGAAGTTCATATGCACTTGTGATTTGGCGTATATGACTAAAAATTTCCTTCAATATGTGAGTCTGCCTAACTATGACATGTCCCGTATTGGATAGCTATTAAGCTCAGTCCACTTTCCTTCAAATTGAAAACCAGGTAGAACAACGCAAATAGACTTGTCAATGACTTACTAGACTTGAATTAGTCCATAGCTACATCTTCACATTATGTAGAATTTATGATCAACATGAGTAATTCCACAGCAAATAAAAACAAGTTCATTTCTGAAGAAAAGGTACCTGAAGGACATGCATTACGTTGACAAACTCCCTGTCAAACAACTCAACTCCCCTCACTATTTGTAATGGCCCCATCAGCAACTCTAGCAAGTTGTATGATGAATTCACTGCTGAAGGACATATCTTCTCACAAGGAGAATAAAGATCCAATCCAAGCATATGCAATCTTGCACAACGTATGTCGAATCCAGATTGAAACTTCAAAGCTTCATCAGGAGGAAACCAGTACATGTTATTGGATGCTGGCTGAGGTAAATATGAGTTGAGCGAATTTTGTGACAGAAATGAAATCAGTTTTGCATCTTCATCATGAGATGCATCCCGACTGAACCACAGGGTAAGGGTGATCCTTTCTCCTTCAATTATCTGATGAAAAAAAAAAATGCCCAGAGAGAGAGAGAGAAGAGCAGGAGGAGGAGGAAACAGAATTCAGCAAATACATGAAGCAAAATTCTTCAGTGATGCAGGAATATTTGTTATGGGCAAGACTGTCAAGGATATAATACAGGAGAGTCCAATATACATCCACTAATTGCTAATTTGACACAAAACTACAGTTTCTCCTTGAAGGAATGGCTTCTTTCTGCTGCTCTTTTATCCTTGTCAAAGTAAGGCAGTCTAACTTAAATCCAACAAGAATTTCTGTTGTATGAATAATCGACAACTCCATCCAGAGTATTAAGAAAAAAATATACATATTGGCAAGTACTAAAGATATGTAATCCAGAAGAGCATATCCACTCTATATACATGTATTTAGGAGTTTTTAGATCAAGTAGCTGTGCCAAATATCAGATCTAAGCATTTAGATTTCATGTGACATTCTCCAAATTTAGGAAGAAGATGTATATGGTATTTTAAATCATGATCTTAAGAGATAATCTACTTCATCTTGGAATTTGAATTTCAAACCTAAGTCTGTTCTTCAGAAGAGGGGACAAAAGCAAGTCTCCTTTCTACCTTCTCCTCGTAGAAGTTTAGGGTTTGTGATAAATCAACCCTCTTCCTGATCTTCACTCTTGGTTTTACCAGGAAACCTAGGTTTATATCATAAATTGGAGTATCATTGCCCAACTTTGGAATTCCTCCTGCAGCAGCCTATCTACTGGATTGACATGCAACATTGATTAAATTAGAAAGGTACAACTTAGAAATCCTGGCTGGACGTAATAATCATCTGAGCATAAAGACAGAGAAAGATAATATCTATAAAGAAACTACCTCATCAACAGAATGTATGTTTCTGTTGTCTGCTGTGTACATTACAGCATCCTGAAAAGATGCAGTAGTGGTTAATCAGTGCAAGAAAGTAATAAATCATCAGTATAATAAAAGTACGGCTCTCCATTTAAGAGTTCACATGCTCAGGCAATGGCAATAAGCTCGAGCTAAGATTCTCATTTTAACTAAACTACAAGAGTTTTCAATTTCTTTTTTACATAGTCTCAATATTACAAGAAAATTACAGATCATGGGCCTTCATGTTTACTTTTTAGTTTTCACTTAGTTATACTCTATTCATTTCATAGCAATTGATTTAGAATATAATGCAATTCAAATGGTAGAACTAGAACTAAAATGATTATGACTGCATTTTCTTTCAATATGTATTTGAACTGTAAGTTCTAAAGGAACAACCACAGAGTTTGCATCTGCATATCAGTCAAAGCTGGTGACTTCATTTCAATCAACACTATTGTTCATTTACATGGAAAGGTAGCATCTAAGCAGAACACTTACTCCAGCCATGGGCTCAATTGTTGATGGTTCCCCATCCTGGAAGTGAAAGAGTCCTCCTCTAAAATCCTCATTGTAACTATTCAAATAACACACTGCCTTCAGCACAGAGGTACAACAAAATCAGAAATCAGAAACAGGAAGGTAATGCAGTTAAAAATGGATTTTTCAATCAGAGATAAGCATGAAAGTTGCCAACAGCAAGTTTTTTCCTTTGGTAAAGTATAGATATTACTTAACACTTGGCAATAAATACTCCTAGAATGACGTAAAAGAACAAAAGAATCATTTCAAATTCTTGAGCAAATCCACCAAAGATACATCACAAATTAAAATGCGGATAATGAGAAAATTGAATGCACATTAGTCCATTATCCGGGCTATAGACTGAATCTTTTTGTTTGTCTTGTAATCTGGAAATTATCTTAGTCAAACTTATCCTCTAAAAGCACAAAAAACCATCTTTCTTGCACAGGAGACAAAAAAAGAAGTAAAAACATCCATGCTTGCCTAGAAAAATATTTTTTAATATCATCTTTCTAAATCATCAGGGAAAATGAAAAAAAAAATTTCTTTTTTTTTGTTTTGGGCAAATGAAAGATGTAATATGTTCACCACAACTATAAAAAGATGTTTCATCTTGCTTGGCCAAACAGATACTATTCAATTAATAATTGATATTATTTCACTCAATGAATAAGGGCAAATATGCGTGCAATTATGCATTTGAGTGGGTGTAAAGAACAGCTAAACAGCATACATCTTCACATTCCACAGACAGCGAATCATGTGTATATTTAATTTCCACAATGAACCATTTACTTTCTGCAATTTTATAAAGAAGTACACCTCCTTTATTGTTTTACATTTTGTGAGATTATTATCGGACAATGACTGATTGAAACAAAACGAAATAGAAAACAAAGATCAATTCCACTTAGATAAAATTAAACAGCCAAATGCTAAATGAGAAGCAGTAAATTCTAGAACAATACTGAAATTGCTCTACCATTGTGTAGAAAGAAAAATAGTATAAAATAGTTGACGAATGAAAGAGAGTAAATATACACACCGCAAAATCTCTTTGTTTTAGATAAGGCCTGTTATCATCACTGTGCCATCCAATATTTGCTGCTTTAGTCCAGCTAATTCATCAAACATGTTAGAGTTTGTTGTTTCACCAGAATATGTTCCATATATAAAGAACTAAGCCAGGTAAAGGACGCTCAGTCAGGACAAGATAAAAACTACAACTCAGATGAAGTAGAGAAAAACTTGGACAAACAAGAGTAAGAGTAAGCCATATATACTATCCATATGAGAGAATATACGACTGATCAAAGTGAAAATAATGGTAAGATGAACACTACGACCAGCTACCAACCACTTTTGAATTATGTTCTGAGCCTAATAATTCTGGCTAATTCGTCATTAAAATATAGTATAGATGTTTAACTCATAAAGATGGTGCAAATAGAATTTGTATTGACTTGCATACTAAATGTATATTATTTTCATACGTTTAGTAGCACATTTCCAACAAAAATCCCTTAAAATAATCAGCCCAAAATCATGCAGTGACAGAAATTAGGCATCCAAGTGCAGCCTTTTCACAAGTTTTCCCTAGTTACTGAACAGCCTAGTGCAAATTTCTTTCTTTCCCACTCTTTGATCCAATTCCACTAATAACCATTTTCCATATAAATCTAATCCTGCAAAACAGAAGAGACATATACAACCAGCCTTTCAAAACTCAGCCAAACCTGATGAGGCCAGTGAATTCGATGACCAACTCATACTGGCATCCAAAATACTCTTCCACTGTCTCCCTCAGCTTTTCTACATTTTGATACAAAACCCACTTTAAAAACATCAAAATAACAGAACCCACAGACTAAAAATTCAAACTACCAAAAAAAAAAAAGAAAAGAAATTATATATTAAAAATCTTTTTTCTTTCTGGAGGATTTTGGCAAAAAAAAAAATGGAAATGAAAGAACCTCTAATGGGAACAAAGGGCATGATCAGGTGCGCACAATTAGTAGCAATTAGATGAGAAAGAGTTGTGGAGAACACATTTGGCCTGTATCCGACCGTGCAATTGCTCTTGTGTATGAACTCCAGTTCCTACCAAAAAAAAAAAACATGGTTTCAAGAAATATTTGATTTAGAAGTTCAGGATACACATAAACTTCATTATAGATAAATGAAATGAAACCTTGCAAAGGCCCGGAGAAAGAAAGTTGTGCAGGATGAGACGTGGGTGCTCCTCAGTCTCCTTTGCCATTGTTGTGAACCAAAACTTCTCAGCTGCTCGGAAAAATGGAAAATTGACTAAAAAGAAGAAGTAGCTATGGAAAGGGAACTGGCAAAACAGGGTGCGATTTGAATCTTCTTTATTTTGAAGGGTATTTGAGCAAAAATTTTTTATTATAATTTTTTTAAGCAAAATTACATCTATTTGGTTGCAAATTGTTATTTATAAAATTTCATTATAAATTGTTCAAATTACATTTACTCTATTGATTAATCAATCATTATAAGATAACCCTTTTTCATAAATTGTTAAGTAAAAAACATTAGATTTGCTACAACTAGAGGTGGCAAAATGGGCGGGATGGGCGGGATTTGCTTGGGTTTGTGATGGAACCGAGTCATATGGGTTTGGGCCCAACCTTACCCATATGTGTTTTGGGACTAACTTGGGCGGGATCACTTTGGGATGGGTTTAGATTGATCCCGCCCAATACCCAAATCTATTTTCTACATATTTTTTTTTCCTTTAATTCATTTTTATTTTTTATATAATTTTAATATTTTTTATTTATTAAATTTTTTTAATTTTATTAAATAAACATGCAAGTGCTTTATACTCAGGATTCCCATCAAAAATTGGATTAACAAATAAAGGAAAAAATAGATATACAGTCATATTCCAACATATATCAAAATGGCCAAGATACTTAAGGTGTTGAATATTTATCATCATCATTGTTCAAAGATGACAGGTCTAAATTGACTGAAATGTTGAAAATTCTTATGGATAATGACTAGGAAAAAACTACTAGATTATATTCTCTAGTATGGTTATAAAAATTGTTAAAGATAATTTTTGAATCTAAGACTCCGTTTGGATTAGCTATTTTTTCAAAAAATAAGTTTTTCAAATACAATGTTACAGTAATATGCAATAACTCAAAAAACATCCCATCCATATTAGTATATCAAATATTTCAAAAAAAATTTATAGTAAAAATTTTTCATATACACTGCTATAATAAAATATTTCAAAAATACCCCCCAAAAATAGCTAAACCAAACAGAGCCCTTGTTATTTGAGCCCAATGGGTACCCAAGTATTTCCCAAGTATTCCCATCAATTAATGGGTACAATTGGGATTTGTCCCATTTTAAACCCAATATCAAAATCCAATACCCATCCCGCCCAAAGTCCCCATGGGCATGGGTAACCCATTGGGACTTGGGACAAATTGCCACCTCTAGCTACAACATATAGCTGTTTTTCAATGGCTACAAATCAAATTTTGTGAATTGAAATATCGTACAAGCACTTAATACAGGGCTGGAACAAGTTAAAATAGTCTAGTTAGGCCCCATTTAAGGTTGCGTTGCCTTTGATAATAAAAACACTTTTAGGTGTTAAAAGTACTTTTTGAGTCATTTGAAGAGCATCATCTCATAAAATTAGGAGTGAAACTTTTAATATCAAAAGCATTATTGCAAAAGTTCAAATTTAATGCTTTTAAAATAGTTTTTGAGTTTTAAAAAATAAAATATTAAATTTAATCATTTTATCCTGTATTATGAACTAAATAAAAGATAAAAACATTTGAAAATTTTCAAAATACACATTATTCAATGCAATAAGTACTTATTAAACTATGTATCCAAATAATATACATAAAACCATTAAGGACTTAATAAGTGTTTTTATCAAAAGCTATATTGGTAAAGTACTTTTCAATAAACTACCGCAATTTCAAACAAACCCTTAATACTTTTTGAAATTCATCTTGGTGTTTTTTTTATGTAAAACAAATTTTAGGTTTAGTTTAATTGAATTTTTCTTAAAAGAATGATAAAGATATTACATGTATCTATTACTATTTTGATCAATTGGACTTTCATTTATCATCAATTTATTCTTTTTAAGATATTTATCTAACAATTTGTGCTAACTGAGCCAAGTACAAGAAGTGAGCAGCTGATTGCGTTATTATTTCATTTAATTGTGGATTTGGCTCAAACACTGTAAAGCAATCCTTAGGTGAAATAATAAATTATTAATCTCAAACGATCTCTACTTGTCTCAAACTTGATGAGTATTTAAGTAGCTTGGATAGGAGGTTATTTGAAATAATTACTGTAGAATTTCTTATGATATGATGTATGTTAGATAAAAAGATGGTTGGAAATTGTATGTATGATGCAAGCAAAACAAATTTTGAGATTTTTATTTGAAAATCTTGCAATCCAAACACTTCGAATGCTTCTTGAAGTTGTTTATGTATAGTTTCCTATCTCAGTATGAAAATTTTAATCAGTCTCAAATTTTGAAGGGGAAACTTTAAAGCCAACAGGAAGATTTGAAATTCTAAGTGGGATGTAATTTTGAAAAATTTGTAAATGGCGTATCAGATATATACGTTCATATATAGCTTAAAAAAAAAAAAACTATGCTGTAAGATATTTACGAAATTACCCTTATCACACATATATTTTAATTTTATATTTTAAATTGGATTAATATTCTATACACTGATAGTGTAAACACTTTCACCATTAGATGCATGACACATAATCCAAATTTGAATTTGAAACTCAAATTTTGCATATATGTCGTATATCCAATCGTGATAGTGTATATACCGTCAGTGTATATAAGATTTACTCTTTTAAATTTAGTTGAAAATTTTATAAAAATTTGAGAATAGAGGAGGCAAGTAATATTTTTTGAATTTAAAAGGTTAAGTGATATTGTTAGAAACCTTAGAACAGGTTTCTGAAATTACCCCACAAAATTAACACTATACTCGTACCTTTAAGTCACTAGGAGTATAGGAGATATGAACAACAAATCAATTTATTACCCGCCAGACATATTAATTAACACTTCAGATAAGCGCAATGTTACTGACCTCAAAGAATATTATATCACCAAATTCTAATTTTGGATGAATTGGGATTTGAAGCCTCTCCAGTTGGGTTCCTCCCGTTCTGTTCAATTGTGTAAATTGACACAATTTTGATGTAACTTGGTATACTTTTGGTCTAATTGTGAATTTACACCAACATCTACAATAATAAAGTATGTGTAAGTAAAGAACTTGGTGTTAATTTTGTATTTTTTCAAATTTACCCTAATCTCTATTTTCCTTCAAACCTTTATCTATACATAATACAATATATAAAGGGAGAGCGTTACTTTGTGGTGAAATACATAGTATTGTTCTTTAAAATTTCTAATATACCCTCAATTATAAAGCAAATTTGTCTCAATTGCAAATAGTTATTTGAATCATAAGGTAGTTATCTATTCAGTTATCAATTTACTACAACTTTCTCGTACTAACTTCCAATTCCCACATATTCTTCACCACTTCCAACTCCTACATATTCTTCTCCACTTCCATCATATTCGTTTCATCTATGATTATCTACATTATAATAGAATTTGACCCATAAAATCCATAAAAAAATATTTTTTAAAGAGATAATTGTGATAAACATATTTTTTATTAATTGCACACGCATTAAAGTGTGCCTTAAGCACTAGTAGTTATAATTCACTTTTATATCAAAATTGTATCTATTTACACAACTAGAAAGAACTGAACTATAGAAACCATGGTTTAAAGTTTCGATCGTGACCCAGACCGTTCCACATCTGTCTAAGCATATCGGTTGCAATCTCGACGAGATGCAAATTTTTGAAACATTTAATATTCTAAAAATTGTAAAAAATATGATAAACAAAAATAATAAAAAAATTAGTAAAAATAATAAAATTCGAGTTGACTTGGAACGACTCGACTGTTTCTTTTCGTCTTGGCCGAGTTCTTAGTGATTCAGTCGAATTCTCGACGATCCATTATCTCGAAATCATCTCGTCCCGATATGGAAACGAAAAGCCTCATTCCAGTAACAACTCGACCAAGTCGTCTCGGTCTCGACCTGAGTCTTTGAACCATCGTAGAAGCCCCATTTCCCATAAATTCAATACCCTTTATTAATATAGTAACCAGTCAATGGCTGCAGACTACATCTCCTTCTATTCACCACACAAAGAGGAGCTAAAGATAGGGAACGAAGATATTTTGATCTGAAATCTGAGCAAAGCCTTGGCTAAACTCTAATGGAGAATTTTAATGGACTTGCACTCAAACCCGCTTGCTCCATCTCTTGTTGCGGAGGAAGGATACTATCTCCGGATTGGAGAGGAGGTCAAGGACAAAGGTACATGGGTGAAATGTTGTTTGCAATTTGTTAGTTACATAATACTCCCTTCCTTAGTATCTTGATTGACAATCTCACAATCATGTTCTTGATAATTGGAGGCTTCATGTTGAAAATTCATGTTCCATGAAAATATCAGTATCAATATCGTAAATAGATTCAACATGGTCGATCAATCGTCCTACGGTCGGAATGGTTATATCCAATATTAAGAAATGTTAACACCTAGCAGTTTTTACAGTTGGAATGGTCATATTTAGTATTATGAAATGTTTACACCTACATCAATTGAAGATATATTCAGAGAAATATTTGAATGGAACGTGATAGTAAAAAGAATTGTCAAATAAATTAACAACTTTAAATTTAGCTGACAAAAAGATGTGTAAACAGGACTTAGCAAAGGATGTAAACCAATTGAAATAACATAAAATGACAATAAACAAGAGCCTTGGGAAAAAATTCTGATGGGAAAAGTTGCCCTTACAACACCAGAACAAACTAGTGGCAAAAGAATGTCAATCGGGTTTTACTGTATATTGATGTTTAGCACATGAAAGGAAGTCACGTATTTAGTTTTGAATAACCTTTTTTTACATATTGTCAGTGTATAATTTTTTTTTTTACATAAGCAAATTAGATCATATCACATGACATGAATTTAAATTTAAAATTCAAATCATGCATATGTGGCATACATTTAAAGCTACTAATGTAAAAAAACTCACTACACTACCGGTGCATAAAAAGTCAGGTAGTTTTCATGGCCAAAAGATTAGTTTGTAAAGACATTTTTAGAAATTTAAATTTCTGTCTTACAAGTTTTACAAATTTGGATTTTTCTCCTATAGAAAATTGAAAATCTTTAGAGATATTCTCT